CTTAAATGCAAGAATGCCCGGTAGAGGCTCCCCTTATACCCAGAAGTACCCAGCAGAGCCCCCCCTTAAATTCAAGAATGCCCGGTAGAGGCACCCCTTACATCCATGTGTGCCCAATAGAGGCTCCCCTTACATACATGTGTACCCAGAAGATTGCTCCCTTACCTTTCAGGCAGCAGAAAGGCAGGGTGGAAGCAGGATATGCCTGGATGGGGGGGAAGTCCTGTCTTCCTGTAGATGCTGGGGGTGGGCCAATCACATTATTGTGATTGGCCTATTGCTGTTTACTCTGAATACCCAATCATGTGCAGATGTGTTACACATGATCGGATAATTGAAGTGAACATTCACACAATTTACTGTCACCCAGTAACAGGCACCTTTGCCCAAACAATTGCAATCTGTGTGCAGTTATTGAACAGAAGCGATTGGCTTTCTATGGGGCCAATAATAAATAATCTATACGTGTGTGGGTAGCTTTTGCTATTTCAAGTGACAAATCCACTTCTCTTCAGCCAGAGACTAGAGATAGATATTACTGCTAAACATGAACAATATTCTACAATCATCAAATCTGATGCTCCACTTTGGCCAAAATCTCAACCTCCAATTCACTCACCATTCGTGTCACTCATTTCTTCTTCCCGTTTTTTCATGTATGAGAAATCTTTAATGATAGACTGTGATAGGTCCTCCAAACGTCTTAAGGATACCTCCAGGGGCTTTAGTTTCTCTGCCTTAGCCAACTAAAAGATGACAAGGACAACAAGGCAGAATTATATAACAGCATTCAAGTAGATCCCATCGCACTCCTGACCGGGTATAACCCAAGAGAACGGGTGGGTGCTGAGATGTCCCTTCTTCAGGCAAACAAAGGGTCATTCTTATTGGAGTGCGAGTGACTTTTCTACCACATTATATAACAGCATAGCACATACATTACATGGGATGTATACACAGTAAACTTACATTCTCATAATTCTTAGCTTCCACACCATGTTTGATATCAAGCACGATTAGCTGTTCTGGAGACCTCACAGAACCTAAGAAAGATAGAACATAACATCAGCTCAGGTTTAAATAGGAATAGAACACACACAATGAAATGCTGAACACGATTTACTCTTTTATTGATGGAAAGGTTCTGCACATCTTCTTAAGCAAACTAGCATTGCTCTGCATCTTTTCAAGCTAGCTGTGGCAGAATATAAAACGGGGAGGCCACCTTGGCACTCCAGCTGTGTATAACAACAAATCGCATGATGCATTGCAAGACTTACTTCCAGACGAAGAGGCATGCTAGGATTTGTAATTTCACCACAGATGGAGCAGAAAGGTTGTCTATCCCTGGTATATACTGTATATGAAACATCAAGCAGAAAACAACATTGATTCTGGCATAATTCTAATGGTAAATAATAGTTATCTACTTCGAAAATTCAATACAGTTGACAAATCTTTCTGGCTGACCAAGGGCTGTCAGGATCAGTCAATGAGTGTCTAATAAGAACTGCCTGCTTCCTGATCTGACCATGACCAGCCAGATCTGCGAAGGATCACCTTTCTATAGGCACCTGTAGTTGTATAAAAGCAAACAAACACTAAAGGATATGGATACATCAACAAAACCCATCAGCAGATATAAATAAGAAATAAAGGCTTTTTAAAACAAACAAACAAATATACTCCTATGCAGCATCCCCAGTTAGCACCTATGGCTCATTTGACGTCTTTAGGAATGTTGGGTAAGTGCAGTCTCAGACAACAGTGTGATGTGCTGACATGTGTTACAGTCCTCTGGAGACTTGCACATTGAACAAGGAGTACTCTTAACCACCCAGTTCCTTCTCATCCTGCCCAGCAAAGCTTGATCCCGCCATCACCGCAAACAACACTCCCTTAAAGATGCCCCACTGAGGGTGAAAGTCTTGTGAACGGTTGGAGCTGTAGTTTTTTCTTAGTCATCTCCAGTAAGTAAAAGGAAAGTGACAGATAACCCAGCCCTCCACACCCTTCAGACTCAGGCAACAGCAGCAATGGTTGGGAGTGTCAGAAATTTAAAAATTGCAGAAACTATGTGGGTGAGCGTGATCTAATGGATGGCATTGAGTTATCATGCAAATTGCAGAGCTGATGCATGAACAATAGGACATGCAGACTTAAGTTGTAACTTAATAGCACACTCCGGCCAGAGTAATTATCAGGAACACTCAAATGTTAAAGATGACTGTTGCCATGAAACGGAAATAACATTTCCAACTCATCTACTGACATGGGACCCTCAATCTGAGCTGCTGCTGGTTTTTTGATACCTATGCTTCTATTGCAGGTACAGGAACAGCTTCTGTGAGAGGCAGAGGCATTACCAGAGTCCAAGTATCTGCCAACAACAGAATCTACCCGGAGCTTTCATGAATAAATGAAAGTAGCAGAATCACAAAGAAGGAAGATGTATACATCCAGGGGAGCACAAATGACAAGTCTTTAAATTAGAAAAATTAAAACAAAAAAAACGTAACATGTAATATAATTTTAAAGAAAAACTCCAGGAAAAAATATTTTATTAACCCTTGCAGGGGACTAAAGAGGACTATGGTGTGTCCCCCCCCCCCCCCCCCCCCCATAGTGTCCTCCCGTGACCCAAAGCTCAGTATATTGCGAGCTACAGCTCACTGGATATTGAGACCACTGCAGCCGGTCGAGATCCACCCAGCTGCGTGATTGACAGCTGGCTCCGCCTATCTAGAGGCAGAGCCAGCTGTATCCACCCCCTCCCCGTTCATTCCTCCAGTCAGCGCTGGAGGATCAGAGCGGGGAGGGGGGGGAATCCCTGCAGGGAGATGATCGAGAACTGAGGGAGCGGCGGTATGTGTTCGCTCACTTCCCAATCTATTGAGCTTCCCGATTTACAGTTTAATTGTCGCACGTCATCTCGAACTATGAGTATAAGTGATTTTCAGTCACCTCATAGTTCTCCTTTAAGTGCTTGTTTGTGTCTCGGTGTTTTAAAAAAAAAAGTTATACTCACCAGACCATCCGAGCCGGCTTTTTCTTAGACTGGTGCCTCAAGCGTCTCTACCCCTCTGCTGCAGCGGTCTATGGATCCTGGTGTCATCACGCACTATATACTGTGCATAGAGATGACGATGCCAAGGACCAGTCCATCTGTGCAGCGGAGGAGGAGACGGCCTTCAGTAATCACAGATTTTTTTAGCACTTAGACACAAATGAGTACTTAAACGTTGCAGTGCAGGGGTAGCCCCACTGCAAGGGATAATAACATTTTCAACCAGAGTTTTTAAGAGTTCTTCTTTCAGCATTTGTGAAGTACTTACCAGAAGAACTAACGCTCTCAAAGCAAACTTCATATACTTCATAATCTTCTGTGGTAAAGGCAAACTTTCCCTTCTTGGCATCTTCTCTAGAATACAGAATATGACCTATGGAATCTATAACCTGTATGGAAGCAAGATAAAACAAACAAAGTGCGGTCAGCAGCCATCAAGCCAGCAATAGTACCTGCTCCAATATAGTAAAATATATCTAAACACAAACATCTTAATATTTTGCAGCTCGCCAGTCCTTAGATATGGTAACTGCATTGGTTTTCATTTTTCAAGCGAGTACCGAAAATATCTTACTTACCAGGAACGTGTTCGTGTCACTTCCTGTGAGATGAACTGAAAGCCCAAACAATGTTATGTGCCTTTTAATCTATTTTCTGTAAACTACAAATCCTCCTCCCCCATGTAATGGAAATGAAGAGAAGAGAAAGTGTTTGCAGTTCAAATAAAGAGGAGCAGTCTAGGGTGACAATACAGCTTCTCCATAGATACAGTGAAGTGAATGAGCATTGACACCCTAATGAAGAAAGGAGTTTTATTAGCAGGATCATCAGGTGAACATGAGAGCCTGAAAAAAAGAAAACGAATGCAGGGTATCAGAGAACATGTACGCTGTTTGGCGTTTTCAACCACCAGCCACTACTTCACTGCATGCAAAGTTAATGCATTGTGATACAATTCTATTGGTTTCAGGCTTGGCAACACAAATGCATTACCACAATCCAGCATGCTCTAATGTGCATGCGTTGAAGTGCAGTAAAGTCTTGAATGTGATGTCTAATGCAGCACCAATGCAGGAAAACTTGTGTGGTGATGTGCAATGCGATCAGGTGTGAACGCGCCCCTCGGACCCCATTCATACCTGTGTGCTTTGATGCATGACAAGAGGAGTCCCATCATTTTCTATGGGGCCCGTTCACACTTATGCATTGCGTTGCCAAGCAACTTGGAAAAGAGGTGCAGGTGCTTCTTTTGGAGGTACAGAGTGTGCTAAATGAGCGACACAAATGGTGAGCATGGAAGACACTTATAGATGCGTTTTTACACATGTAGTCTCATCCTCCTTGCAGCATCTACAATCTCCCGGCTGCACAGGAAGATGGAGCAAGCAAGCTGCATAATGCTTCATGTAGAAGAACTAAAATGGCTGGTGAAGGAAACGACATCAACATACGATCCCAGCGTCCACAATGACAAGGATCGCTGTAAGCGCCAGAGGGCTAGGAGGACATGCCTGCAGAGTTTATTCTGATTGGGACGGTTACCTAGAACCTTACTCCCCCAAAAAAACAAAAAGGTAAGCCTTTTTTTCTTTATCTTTAGCAGAAATTGCTAGTCATTGGCCAAAAAAAAAAAAAAAGACGCATTAGGGCTCGTTCACCTGCTGCTGTGACTGTAATTTTTCCCACACAGGATCAACACCAGTTTCTGCAAGGGCACACAGAAAACAATGGTTTTCTACTTGCCCCATTCACACCACAGCGCTAGTGTGATGTACAGTGATTAACAATGCAGACATGCTGCAATTTTCTGCAGCGTACTGGATAGTACCGTAGGTCACCGTAACACAGCACACTGCAACCTGCTGTATGGAGACCTGAATGGAGTTGTACACATTGTACACTGACAATAAAGTTAAAGAAGAGCTCCAGGAAAACTTTATTAACCCTTGCAGTGGGGCTACCCCTGTACTGTAAGCCTTAAAGGAGAACTATGAGGCGAGTGATTTCATCTTCATAGTTAGAGCCGTGTGCGACATTGAAACTGTCACACGTCGGCTCTATTGATCGAGAAGTGATCGAACACATACTGTCTCTCGCTCACTTCCCGATCATCTCCCTGCAGAGACTGACAGTCACCGCTCCCCCGAAGGGGGTGCCCCCTCCCATCTCCGATCCTCCAGTGCTGACTCAACACCCACCCAATGAGCCTTGAAGCATGAAAACACATGAAGAACTCATTAGCCCTAGGTCACACCTGTACAACGTGTGCACAGTGCAAAACACGCCACCACCAAAACACATGATACCTTTCTACCATTGGTAGAATTTTGGCGCACTACAACACAGGTGGTTTAGCAAGCACTTTTGGGAGCCATACAAAACGAATGCCTACGTTTCAGACTGAATGATACCACAGCCAAAATAGATGCGTTTTTATGAGCTGCAGGATCGCTACATCAATAATGTGCATCGACCACCCAAACACGTAATATGCAGGGCCACAAGTGTGAACAGAATCTTGTTGATTGCCAAAACACACAAATGTTGTTCCTACCTAGCCGAGTGTAGTAATATAATAATACTATAATAATACATCCGGGTACACCTAATCCGATCCATGACAGATTGCTACACAAAGGACCATTAGTGTGTACCACAAAGACAGGAGGAGTATTATAATCACACAAACTTTGTTCTAACACTCTATACAGCGTGTTCGCCTTCTAACAGACAGGAGAAGCCATGAACAGCGGTGAGCCCTACTTGCACACGTCACATTAGTCGTACCTTGAGGTGTGTGACGATCCCAGGCTGCTCGGCCACATCATACTCCCCGGTCACCAGCACATCTTTGTGAATCTCCTCCTTCAAGCACTTTTTCTTATCAGCGGGCAGATAGAAGGAAATGGCTCCGGCTCCGACCAGGACGAAGCAAGGGACCAGCAGCTGCAGCAGGAGGACCATGTCTGCGAAGCAACAGCAGGCAGGAAGGGCTGTCACGTTGCTAGGAGACAATGCGGAAACCCTACTTCCGATGTCGTGTAACATCTGCGTTCCACGCCTCGCTCGCCTCTTTCTGGCCCTGTCATTGGTTACTGCTGCTTACCAACGGCTACATCTGCATCCTGTTCCACTCTAGAGATGGGCGGGTGGTAGAGTTATGTGTCCTCACTACCATTCACTAAAGTAACCAACCGCTAGAATCCGGCAGAAGATTTACATGTTGCAAGTTTGTCACTGGAAGCTTTTAAAAATATATATATTTGTATTTCAGTTTAACAAGAATAAACACAATAATGCAAAAAATAGCCCTCAAAGGGTGTGTGTCACAATAGTTGTATAAAATATGAACAATCATAGTTATAGTTCATGCAAATGTGAAATGAGAATCACATAGTTAAAGGAGAACTATGGGGTAAGTGTTTTTCCCCATAGTTCTCAGGGTCCTGGGTGTGTGATAGTTTAATTGTCACACGACGGCTCGAACTATGAGGTTGAGTGAAAATCACTCACCTCATAGTTCTCCTTTAATTTTCCTTAACCTCCCTGGTGGTCTGATTATGCAGTATTTTTGCATGCCAAAGCGGTACATTGTTTTTCATGGACATTTGTTGTTTTATATTGTAGGTCTGTAATGCTTAGTAAATCTTAGGAATAACTCACCTAAACTTGTCCAAACAAGAGTCTAGTAGACATCCCTGATATGATAAAGTTTGAAACACGAAATAAAAAAATGATAATATAATAAATAATTATAAAAAATTTCTGGGGGTGCTGCCTGATCCGTACCACAGTCAATAGAGTACCAAGTTCGCACATCACTGAGCTCGGTCGCAGAATCGCCGCTGTCCTCACTTTCAGTGTCTGATGACGAATTTCCCAACGAATTGCTATCGCTCAATTCTGCAAGATATTCTAATTCACTATCGCAGTTTTCTACCTGGTCTAAAGCCGCTTTTGACCTAAAGGGACACTTTTTAGATACAATGCACGTTCTCAAGTTTCCAGGCAGAAAGAACAGTAAAAGTGCAGGCAGGGCACTGGACAAAGCTCTAGGGACAAAATTGAAGTGAAATGGTTTGATACAGAAATGTAATCATAGCAGATTACAATGTATTGTGTGTATTCTGTGTATATTGCATGTTTTCACTTTTGAATTTCCCGCTGGCTCCACCCCCCACTGTGATGCCGAAAACTAAACTAAAAGTCGGATGCCGGCAACGGCCTGGCACATACAGCAGAGGACACCACGGGCTCGTAGGGACAAGGTAAGTGACACTTTTGTGTAATCCCGAGTGTGGCTCGGGGTTACCGCTATTGGTACTGAAAATTAACCCCGTGCCACACTCGGGAATACCGCCAGGGAGCTTAAGCCAAAAAACAGCACTGCCCTGTTTTTTCCGCCCTCACCCTGCAGCGCCCTCAGGCAGCCGCCTGACTTGCCTTGCGGTAGCGCCGGGCCTGAATCTGACAGAGCAACAGGAACACAGGTAACTAGCTGAAGACTGTTCAGCAACTAAAGGTAAGGTCAGCTCCTTTATATATGCTAATCCGTTAGAGGGGAAGACGTCATATCCTATGCGCCAAGGTCAACGTGTCTTCGTGCACACATCCCATTGCACGCACATGCGCACCAGTGCAGGGGCGGATCCAGAGTCTAGTCTGGGAGGGGGGGTAACTGCCAGAAAATAAGCCCCCCCCCATCTGGCTCTTCCACTGCTACTGTGCCACCCCTTCCCTCTCTCACTGCCTATGTGTCCACTGCCCCGCGGCTCTCCCCCTATTCCCCGGGGTACAACGCACTCACCTGGCCTCTCCTTCTGGGATATTTCCGCCACTGCCAGCATTGGGTGGTCTGTACTCCCGCAAATTAGGCAGCTGCAAAGCCCCTGTGTGGGCCGAAGCGGCCGCCTAATTTGCCTACAGTGCAGCCTCTGCTTTGGGTCCCGATTGTTCAGGGCGGCCGGCCGGGCCCAGCAGAGGGGCGGAGGGAGCGATAATAATAATCGCAGAGTGCGGAGGTCAGTAAAGTGACGCAGTGCGGAGGTCAGTAATGTGACGCAGGGCGGAGCTCAGTAATGAGACGCAGTGCAGAGGTCACCGGTGTGAGATAGAAAAGGGACTTACAGTGGTGATGATAGGTGCACCCGGCGCATATCTGCGTGTGTATGTGGGGGGCAGGGACTTTAAAAAATATATATATTTTGTAATTTTTTTTATGCTTATTTTTTTTAATGATTCTTTAAAGGAGAACTATGAGGTGAGTCATTTTCACTCATCCTCATAGTTCTTGCCAACCTGTGACAATGAGACTGTCACAGGTCGGCTCAGTAGATCGGGAAGTGAGCGAACACATACCGGCGCTCGCTCACTTCTCGATCCTGTCACTGCAGAGAGCGGTGACAGGGGAGGGACTGGATTCCCCCCTCCCCTGTCCGATCCTCCAGCGCTGACTGGCGGAACGGACGGGGGAGGGGGCAGGTACAGCTGGCTCTGCCTCTAGATAGACAGAGCCAGCTGTCACTCACACAGCTGGGTAGATCCAGACATAATTGTCGGGATCCGTTTCAGCTGCGGCGTCTCAGTATACCGCAAGATACTGAGCTTTGGGTGACGGGAGGACGCTAGTTTGTGTCCTTCCGTTACCCTTAGGAGAACTATGGGGAAAAGCCCTAACCCCATAGTTCTCCTTTAATTTTTGTATTACTTTTTTTTACACACAACTTTATTGCTATTACATGGGGGGCTAAGAAGCCCCCTATGTGATAGCCAATTTACATGACAGGTCCTCTTTATGGAGACATCAGTACCGTGGGTGGGAGCGGCTCTATCTCGGGGAGGGGGGGGGGCAATTGCCCCGTTGCCCTCCCCCCCTGGATCTGCCACTGCACCAGTGCATGTTCCCCTGTGATACTGTCACCCGTTGCCTTACAGTTTAGCTAAGTCCTTATACATTGTTATGGCTGCGCTGCTGCAAATGTAGCTCTGCATGTACAGTTTGCCAAGCACTGTTGAATGCAATGGGACCACATCACAACCACATGCCAAATGCTTGGCACATGGCTATGTCATGGTATTGCAGTGTCAATTCCCCCTTGGGATCGAAACCCAGGGGGAACAGGTATTCAAAAGGCTAATGTTTCCTTAAAGAGGATCACTGATAGCAATAAAGTTGTGTACAAAAAAAAAATAAAAAAAATAAAAGTTTGAATAAAGTTACAGAATACCCATAATTTGATACACTGTTTTATTATCCCCTGCAAATGTTCACGATACCGAAGCAGTACTGTTATAGTCTATTGATAGAGATATTTGCTTTTGTTCTCTCCTAGCTCTGATGAAGGGGGCATTTGAATGAGCATTTACTATTTCTATACTGTCCCCTTAAAGTAGTATTAAACTCTCAGACCTTTTTTTCAATAATGAATCCAGATCAAACAAATATACATTGCCCAGCAAAGCATTTCTTTGCATTTTTGCCTGAACACTTACTATCCTGTTTCTGAACACCTGCTTCCAGGTCTCTCAGATCACAAGGGACAGAGCAACTGTTTATCTACTAGCTTGGAGGAGGAAGGAGAGGGGGCCAGGGGGAGGGAAGAAGCTTGATTTGCTGTGTCTGTGTGTTTGTGGCTACAAACACAGCTTACTAGCACACACACACAAGGGTGACTGCATAGCACTCTCCTTGAGAAAGGAGTCACTCTAAAGGTGCCCAGACACTGCACGATTCTCGTATGAGAATCACAGGGAAATCACACGATCGTACGAGAATCATGCAGTGTGAATGAGGACGTGCGACCGTTTCTACTGTACGGTCGCACTTCTTTTGTCTAAGGAGCATGCTAGAAAACCAGCCGAAAATCTTACGTAATAGGGACCTCATGTTGTGGGAACTACTGGACATGACAACCTTGGACAGCCCCTTGATTCTGCAACTATATTGGTCAACATTCTTTATTCTGATTTGAGTCTGTATATATGTATGTTTATTGCATAAATACCATGTTGATCCGTTTGGTGCAGTTTCCATAAACCTTTATGATAAACAAAATTGTCCACTGTGCACAATTTTCACAGATACTATATTTTGGCATGGCAGGCATGCTGGGGTGGTATCTGACAAAATGTGTCCTCATTTATATGTGTCTTTTTGAATATCTATACTTCAGTAAATATAGGTTCTCAGGTATACGGCAGTTATACACTTAGAAAAGTATCTGCCAGTGAGTGTATTGAGCACTTCTGTGCGAATATCCACCAACACACTTGCACACTGATATATGCCATAGATGTACAGTACAGTATATAACATCAATGAGAAACTGTATCCACATATACACGTCCCAAGGTTTTTCAGTTTGTATCCCAGTCTGGATGAAAGTCCATTATTGTATAGTTCCATCATGGTATAAAGACAAGAACAATAAAATAGACTGCTCTGATGTGACCAAATGACAACCCCAACTCCAACATGAAGGTCACTGTAGGTTTGCAAAAAATTCCAAAATTGGCCTAAATGATTCCTCGTATCTGTGTGTTTTAAAATTCCATCACAGCGAAACAACAAACTAATAACTTATTGTTATTGTTCCATTGTGACTAAAAGGCCATCTCAGATTCAAGCATAAATCTAATTCAAGAGAAATTCTAACATAAATGTAAAGAATTCCTTGTACTTATCGCATATGGAAGGAGGTGGTCCTGAATCACGCCTGAGGAGAGAGGGGATGGGCAGGGTATTACAAGCCAAGCCTGTAATCTGACTGGTTTTTCTGCTCTACACTGGTCGTGTGAGAGGTGCAGCTTGGTTTGTCACCTGTCTTGTGGGCCCTTAATGAGAGGTGCACAGGGAGTAAATGCCACCCCGGCCTGTCAATGTGGGTGGACTTGATGATGTCACCAGAGTGGCCTGTAACACTGCCCTGCCCGACAGCTCACCCCATACGTAAAAGAAAATCCGCTTAAAGAGTGCACCACAGGTTTGGGAAGAATTAATATGTTATGGTATAACAATACATCCCATCTTACAGTTGTTGTAAG